GCTGCAAATTTTATTCACACAGGTATACACACATGCAGCAATACATGTACTTCCCTACACAAAGACACAGTTTCTTACATGCATGCACACACTTGTCTGCACAGAGACACCCAGCCGGGAAGGGAGGAGGGTGGGCTGGCAGGGAAAAGATGGGTGGCGGGCAGAGGAGAGAGGATGGGGAGGGAAAGGCCAAGAACAAGAGCAGAGTGGGGGTAAGAGGCAGCAGTGAAAGGAAGAGTTGGGGGAGGGGTATGTGGGGTGGATGGTGATGCAGAAGGCTACTGGCGCATGAGGATGTGGGAGGCACAGGGGCGTATAGGGACATATGGGAGTGAAGCAGTGTCTGAAGATGAATGGGGGTGAGGGACATGGGGATGGGTGAGGGAGGTGGAGAGGATGGGTGGGAGAGCGCTGTAAGGGGTACATGGCTGGGATGGGTAGGTGTGGGGGACAGGGTAGGATGGGACAGGGAGGGATACAATGAGGGGGATGAGGGTGCAGGACAGTTGGGACAAGGAGGGATGTAGCCCTATTCCCAGCACTCTGAGATGACAATACATACCTCCAACTCCTGGGTGCTGGCGATAGGGCGACAGACCGCAGTTTGATGCAGGGCACTTGCCGCAGCTCGAGCCCAGCCACAGGAGGAGCATGAGAAGTGGGCTGGCAGCAGCAGGAGAGGCACACGCCACGACCCCTCAACAGCCACCTGCTAGGCACGCTAGTTCATCCCCTGCCCCGGACAATGGGAGCTGTGCCTGTGGGTGGAGCAGCACGTGGACTCCCTGGCTTCCCCTACATGTAGGAGCTGGAGTGGGGACATGCCAGCTGCTTCCTGGGAACTGCGTGGTGCAGTAGCTAGCAGGGAACCTGCCAGCCCCACTGCGTGGTGCTGCTAACCCGACAGTCAACGGCCTGGTCAGCCGTGCTGACCGGAGCCACCAGGATCCCCTTTCAATCGGGTGTTCTGTTCCAAAACCAGACACCTGGTCACCCTAGTGAGGGCTCCTGCTGGGGGTACGGGCTCTGGGGTGGGGCCGGGGCCAAGGAGTTCAGAGTGCAGGAGCAGGCTCAGGGTTGGGGTCGGCAGGGGGCTCAGGGCAGGGGTGCAGGAGGGGGTGTGGGCTCTGGGAGGGGGTTCTGACCTGGGGCAGGGGGTTGGGGATGCAGGAGGAGGTTCGGGGTGGGGGACAGTCTCCAGACAGTGTTTACCTGAAGTGGCTCCCGGAAGCAGTGCTATGGCCCTGTGGCCCCTAGGCACAGGGGTGGCCAGAGAGGCTCGGCGTGATGCCTTCGCCTGCAGGTGCTGCCTCTGCAGCTCCCATTGGCTGTGGTTCCCGGCTAATGGGAGCTGTGGAGCCAGCACTTGGGGCAGAGACAGTGCACAGAATCTCTCTGGCCACCTCTGCGCTTAGGGGCCGCAGGGACATAGCACTGCTTCCGGGAACCATGCAGAGCCAGGGCAGGCAGGGAGCCTGCCTTAACCCCACTGCGCTGCCAACCGGACTTTTAATGGCCCAGTCAGTGCTGCTGACCAGAGCCGCCAGGTTCCCTTTTCAACCAGGTGTTCCGGTTGAAAACCAGACGCCAGGCAACCCTAATTGAAGGGCTAAAGAGGCTGCACACTTGGCTGCCCAAAGCAAGCAAGCAAGCAGCATTCAGCCCCTGGACAGTTTCATGGGGGGAAGGTGTATCAGATATAGGCAAGCAGGCAGCCCATTTATAGGCAACCCACAGGCCCCAGCATACAAGACTCCATCCTAGCTTGCTTTGCATTGCATGTGGAGACCGGTAGTTCCCAGGATACACACCTTTGTAGTGAGATGAGGGTTGCAGAACAGGCACAGCATTTGGGTTCTTGGCAAAGTGATCAAAGCAGCCCCGCAAGGAAAGTTTGGACCTCCTTGCCTGCTGGGATGGGAAACCTAACAAGGCTCCTAAAGAACAGAGATCATCATAGATGGCTGGGGCCAAAATGCATCCACGGGGCAAGTCCACTAGAGTCAATTTTAGCCCCTGGATTCAGAGATGCAGAAGCCAACTCTCCCCCTTTTCTATTGGCATCTAAATAAATCGTAGCCTGGGGGACCAAGTGCACTGAGTTGGCCCTTGCGGGGGATCAAAGCAGAGGAGCTGGGATTGAGAGGATGCAGCCCCTAGGATTGTCATTGTTTAGGAACAAGAGGAAAGTAGGTTTGGAATTGGGAGTTACTTAACACCCTGCATGGAAATGCCTGGGGACCTGTGCCCCATTGGAGCTTATTCCTTCAGCACAAGAGTTCTTGCCCATTCCCAATCACTCCCTCCTACAATATCCCTCCACAATGCTTTGCAACAGATCCCACAGTGCTCCAGAGCGGGCACACAAGGACTCTATGCAATAGGTTATCAGGGTGCTTGCTGAGCAGGCAGGGGTTGCCCCGGTGGCTGCCTGGTACCCAGAGCCCGGCTCCAGCGGGAACGTGATACATAGATTGGAGGAGGAAAAAAGTCTCTCACCCCTGCTGCCTCAACATCCAGGAACAATGCTCTTCACCCTCCCCACAACTCCAGTAGGGTGGGGTGCAGCTTGTATCTGTCCCCCACAGTAACACAGGCCCTAGGGGACACTGGAGAGAACAGACCCACACACACACCTTTCCTAGATAGCAAAATATATTTTGACTGCTGAAATACAGTAGATTATATAAACCGCGTTTCTGCATGACAGAACATTTTACAGGTTAATACATTGCAGACAGTAACAGAATCACATCTCCCACCACAGGCATCTCTTGGCAGCTATTCCAGCCTTAATAACACCAGAGGTTGTCCATACCACTCACAGGTAGAGTGCACTTTATTTTTTTCTACTCAGTGGTATTTTACACTTAATTCTTTCTGCCGTCCACCCTTTCCGACTAAAGAGATTAGAATCTGTCTGCTCCAGGAAGGAGACTAGTAGGGTTGTCGACTACTCTTAACAGCAAAGACACCAGTGCACTAGGTAGAGACTCGCAGGTATCCTGCTGACTAGATGCATAACCCTGAGACATCTGAAAAGAATGCATGCTCTCTCAGAGGGCACATTTAAACCATTCCCTCCTTCCAGCTCATTTACATTCAGAGATTTAAGCCAAATGATTCACGTTCCATTAATAGGCTGATACTGCCTCTTCCCATCCCAGGTACCCTGCCTCAAATCACTGATTTCTTCACAGCAAGTAAAAACAATTAGGCTTATTTTGATAATCCTTATTGAACAGTGTACAGTTTTGAGAGATCAAAGGCAGGATTTCTTTCAGTTCTAAAGCCATCTTCACGTAGGAAGCTAGATAGCTTGATGGGTTTTTTAAAAGCAGCAAAAAGGACACATTAGGTATGAAGATTCTGTATGAATCTACAGTTCTCTTACAAGGACAAATATACAATACCCTTGTGAACTATTACATATTTCATATATGCAAGAAACTGGGTACAAAAAAATCTCACCACATTAATACTGATTTCTGTGATGTTACTGAGCAGTAAGTTGAGTTGTATTGGCAGGCATTCCAAAATGGAAGCTTCCCATTTCATGGATGGTTAAGAGATAGTGGAAGTAAGCTTCACAACTTTACAAAGAACACTTAATATGTGTATACAGTAAGAATTCAAATAGGTTGTTAGTCTTAAGTGGCCAAATCACTGGCCAGACCACCACACTGCTAGCTCTGGGATTCTATGGCCTACAAAAACAAAACAAACAAACAAAAACAACTCTTCAAATGAACAGGGTAATATCTTCAATTCCCATTTAGCCCAGCAATGTGCAATAATTTCGCTAGAAAGTCTAAGGCCTTAAGTATTTCCCCAAGGCAATGATGAAAACTGAATTTCAAGCTGATATCAAATCTCACAAAATAAGTCAACAAATAGCAAAAATTGTCAGTAGTGTAGTTGTTAATGCTCTCTAAAGGCATGGTTTCAGATGACTTGAACTATAAGGTAAGAACTGAATGTGTCAAGAAAAAAGGCCAGTTACAGCAATTGAACATGCCTGTATAATGACTGGCTTCTGCTTGCAATATTTTAATCCTTTGGCTCCAAGCATTGAGGTTATTAACATAGTAACGCACAAGATTCTACATTATAGGTAAACTGGCACCAGAGAGTTATACCTAGAGTCCTACTAGTAGGCAGAGAAGACTCAAAATACAATTCTTCCTTCTTTTGAGAACACTGAGACACAGTCGCAGGAATCAGACACAGGCTTCAAGAAACCCAAGCCTCTAATCCATCATACCCCAAGGGAGTGCAAGGATTTCCATACATAAACAGTACATTGCGTTTTAAGAACTATGATTAAAGTGTACTGACTTCAATTCATCTTAGATGGAAGAGAAGTGCTACTATCTGACCACAAAGCTATTTTTAAAAAGGACACTATCAGGTTAAAAATAATCTCTTAAAATTATTTTACTAGCACCACATTTTTTTTAAAAAAAAGGTCTAATTTACTTTCCATTATAACTGTTCAAGCTCAACTAGTGGAAGTAAAAAACCAACAAACAGAGTAAAGTTTCTAATGATTTTCACCTCTGGGCTCTTATATACTAGCACAAATGTCCTATGTTTGGGGGCACACATTTGTTAAACTCTTTCTACTAAAATTAAAAAAAAAAAAATCATGAAAACAATTAAGAGTTTTTATATTTAGTATAAGCTTTCATTCAATTAAAAAAAATCCACCCTATACATTCAAAACCTGAATTTGTCACAGATTTGACCTGGTTGTGTCCTTTTAATAAGAGCAGGAGACCTACCTATTAGACAGAAACTGAAAACTAAGAAAAAAATACTTAAAATCAAAATAGTTGGCTCTGATGAAGGTATGTTTTAACTCAGGTTAGAAAATAGCTTTTCCAACACGGTTGAACAGAGTCCCATTGTCAGCACTGGTAGCCATGCCTGTGGCTTGGAGGTCAACAGGATCAACTCGCCACTCAGAAAAATGTCATTAAAAAACATTTGCGTAACTGTGAAATTACAGTACTTAATGAAAGCCAAGTTGTTCTCTACCACTCAGCTCCTTCCTGCAATGGAAGTTGTAATTACTGTAGGATACAATTCAATTGTGTCCCTGATGTGCATCACTTAAATGAATAAATGCCATTCAGATAAACAGGAGTTATATGGTTAGTTTCTGAACTAATTTGTAACCTAGAGTGCAGAACTGACATCTCCATATAGAAAGGGAAGCAGACAGTAACTGGAAGGGAACTTCAATTAGATACAATCATGTGCAACTGCTGTGGTAAAGAGAATATTCCCAGTTTGAATATCCATTTATCAGAGTCTCTCTCCTTGTAGCAGTGCAATGGTCCCCTCTCCCTCCCAAAGCAGGGCATGAACTTTTCCTGACTCCATATATTTTTGATGCAACAGTCCAAGGGAGATGTGGCTTTCCATTGTAAAAGTAGTGATTTAGAGTGATGGGAGTGTGGGGGGAAGGCTTTGATTCATCCCCTTATTTCCAACTGCTTTTGTGTCAGGAAGCCATTATGGAGCATCTTGTCAACATGTGGCAAGATTAATGGGCATTGTATACAGTGGAGCCATTTGAATGAGAATACAAATCACTGAAATCAATGGGATTTTTTCAAACTGCTCCATAATACTCAATGCATACTAACATATACAGAATAGTAAGTGCACATGCACAGTAACAACTTTTCACTTTAATTTGACAGTTTTGTATCCCCCTAAGATAACTGATTAGTCTAGGGGCTACAGGGAGGGAAGTTGTCAGAAAAAGCAAACTCCTACTGCTCATAGTCACATGAGCTTCAGAGCACAATAGGAAAAAGCCAAGGGGCATAAGAGCTGTAGTTGGAATTCTGACAGCCAAAGAGGTCAGGCTCTTGTGATTTAGAGGCCAATCTTAAGCTTTTTTAGTATAATAAAAGTTTTTGTTTTTTTAAGAATGTATGCACTCAGGGCCCTACTTTTGAGTATAGCAAATATTTTCATATAGCCAGTAGCAACTGATCATTCACTGCAACCACAGAAAGAAAAAGTCTTCAGCATTAAAAATTAACTTTCCCCAGCCCATTTTCAATCCCTATGTACTGTCTGTGGAAAGTAATTCCAGACAGAGGACACAGAAAGCCATCCACCATTACTTGGACTATGATGCAAAGACATGTTGCTCTGTCACATAATACTACCATAGCAACAAGGAGGGTTCCAAAGAGCATACAAATTCTGTAGACGTCTCCAGTTACTGAAGGAGAAAACAACTCTGAAGGAATGTCTAAGAAACAGATGGACAGAGGCTACCGCTGAGCTCTACTTAGTCTGACCAGACGATCTACTGTCTGGATGAAGAGTAGCAAAATTCCAATGGACATGACCTTCATCTCAGTGTTTCATGACTGACATGGGAATGACTGACTAGAGCAGTGTGCAATGAGAGCTACCTGGACGCCTGCTGCAGTCCACTTCAACTGGGCTGCCTCAGTAAAGTTACAAAAACAGTTTATCTCCAATAATCTGGAGGCACAACTTCCCTTAAAAAAGATTTGAAGTGAATTATGTCATTGGTCCCTGTCCTTGGAGGAGCACAGGCTGATCTTCAGATATGGGAGGTAAGATGAAAGCTGGGTTTAATGGTTTTAAATCTGAATATGACAATCCCAGGAACGTGGTTTCACATAGTCCAGGAACGTGGGCTAGAAGACACAATAGAAGAGAGGCAGCATGTTAGTCATGGACATGTAGTGGCGGACATTATTGTACTGTCTATTGAAGTCAAGTAACCTTTTCTGTTCACACTCCCCTTAAAGGAAAAGCCAGCAACACCACACATTCTCACATCTGATAGTCATGGAGGCCATGACTGATTCTGACAGCAGGGTGGAGCCAGACATTTTTTCAGGTAAACATGAGTGTCTAGTCCAGGGGTCAGCAACCTCTGGCATGCAGCTCGCCAATGGGGAGCAGTGGGAAGCTGTGGCCAGCACATCCCTCGCCCGAGCCACTTCCCACAGCCCCCATCGGCCAGTGGGAGCTGCGATCGGCCGAACCTGCTGACGCGGCAGGTAAACAAACTGGCCCGGCCCGCCAGGGTGCTTACCCTGGCGAGCCATGTGCCAGAGGTTGCCGACCCCTGGTCTAGTCTATTGCCATTACAAAAATCTATTAATCTGTCTTCAGCGAAGACAGATCTACAACAGCAGCTGATCATTTCATGCCAGGAGTCAGTTCTGGGTGATAGCTACCACTACAGGAAATGAATACAAAAATTGCAGAGATGACATATTTGTAATTGGGGGGGAGGGGGGGGGAAGAGAGAGAGAGAAACCAGTGTTTCCTCTCATTTTTTACATCCATGTACGGAATGAATTTTGTTATGTGCACCAATATGGAGATGATGTGTGACACGTCACCTTCATATTGGTGGACATAACAAAATTCATGTGGTGGGGGTAGGGCCGAGGGGTTCGGAGTGTGGGAGGGGGCTCAGGGCTGGGGCAGAGAGTTAGGGTGTGGGGGGGCATGAGGGCTCTGGCTGGGGATGCGGGCTTGAGGTGGGGCTGGGGATGAGGGGTTTGGGGTGCGGGAGGGGGCTCAGGCCTGGGGCAGAGGGTGAGGGCTTCAGGTAGGGGTGAAGGCTCTGGGGTGGGGCCAGGGATGAGGGGTTCAGGGTGCAGGAGAGGGCTCAGGGCTGGGGCAGAGGGTTGGGTGCAGGGGATGAGGGCTCTGGCTAGGGGTGAAGGCTCTGGGGTGGGGCCAGGGCTGAGGGGTTCAGGAGGGGGGCTCAGGGCTGAGGCAGAGAGTTGGGGTGCAGGCTCTGGGGTTGGGCCAGGGATGAGGGCCTTGGGGGTTCAGGCTGCCCAGGGGCTGCAGTGGGGGGGGGGGGAAGAGAGAGAGAGAGAGAGAGAGAGAGAGAGAGAACTCCCTCCAGCCCTCTCTCACTGTAGCAGCTCAGGGCAGGGGGAGAGGTGCCTCTCCCGGCTGTGGAAACTCCGGCAGTCCTGGGCCGGGCTGAGGGAGAGGCGCCTCTCCTCCGGTCCCAGCAAGTCCAGGGCAGGTCCATGTTGCGGCCAGGGGAGGGGTGCCTCTCTCCCAGCCACAGCAAGTCCAGGACAGGTCCATGCTGGGGCCAGCAGGGAGGGGCACCTTTCCCCCGGCAGGTCCGTGCTGGGGGAGAGGCATCTCTCCCCGCCGCAGCCCTGAGCCCCTGCACGGGGCTTAATAGGCAGCTGCGCAGCTTAGAGGGAACTTAGGACCAGACCTTGAATTCTGAGCCCACTTAGAATGGGCTTCAGGTAAAACCTTGCTGAATAGGTTTGAATGCCTTTTCAAGGTGCTATGCAAGACAGGTTGAGCTATCAAGACTACTCAAACACTGAAGGGTTTGTGTTTAGGAGCAAAGTTGTCTATGTTTGACTTTATAACCATGTTTCTATTTTCCCTATTTTACAACTGCCACTGCTGAAGGCAAGGGAAAATTCCCTACAGACCCAACCAATGCAAAAACCACAACAACCCACAAGACAAAAAACGCCACCCCAAAACACAAAAACAAAACAAAAAAACCAAAATCCCACAACTGTTTCTCCTCATCCTGGAGGCTGAGCATGCTGCCTCCCCTGCACTGTAATACTAGTACATATTGCCTGAACGGATTAAAGTGCTCTGAGTTTAAAGGACATAAGCCCACTACTTGAAAACTGACAATCAGGGTGAAATAAAATGTACTGTTTAAACTTCTTTAAAGAAGTGACCCTACAAAGTAAAACTGAAAACGTGTGTATGTGTGGAGGGGGAGGGGGAGAGATAGTGAACAATGGGCAGTAAAATACTAGATACTTGAGTTTTTGTCAGCCAGAGACCTTCTCTAATTTCTGTTAGTAGAGTCAGCCCTTCTCCAAAATGATCTCAGAGGTCAGTAATCATGTAAGAGTAATGTTTCAAATTTTGTACTATTCTGTACAAACTTTTTTTGTTATTGGGCTCATGTCGTAAGTTTAAAAACAGTAAGAGTGAAATAGAAACCAACTTCTTTACATCATCAACCCCCATTTTCCAGATTATGCCACATCAGTCCATTCCCGCTCTCCTCTACCATATTAGAATTTCTCGCCCTTTTCCCCATAAGGCTGACTCTCACTAATCTTTTGTCCTTTACACAAGCCAGGCTTGTCCCTTCTCATTGTCTGTACACTTAGTTATTCCAGAATCAAAGGTTAATCACTCACATTTTTCAGGGGGCAATACTGATGTGCATACCACTCCTGACTGTAAAGGCAAATTATGACACCTTGGCCCAGGAAGAGAGAGGTCCACATGATCACATTCCAAATGGGCCCTTTCCGACGGTCATTAAGAATGAAGTTGAAAACCACTGGAAGAGGAAATAGGAAGTCATCAAGGTGCGCTATTCAGGACATCTGCAAGCTCAGGTTTTAACCCACATTAAGAGCCAATAAGTCTCGCATTCTCCTTTCATTTCCACTAATTTAGTTTGATCATCGGTCTGCTTTCCATCTCCACTGTATTGATGGCACATTATGGGAAAAGTCCATACAGCACAGGAAAGCATGCTCATTATCTTCTTTCACAAGTGATATGTATCACATTGGCAGGTTTATTCCCTACAAGACTACCAGGTCCATCTGGCAGCCTCAGTTTAGAACGGGAGTGGTAGTGTGCTACAGCAGAGGAGTGAAGAACGCTGGCAGAGCAGGGGATGGGAGGCAGCTGTGAACATCTGCACTGTGCCTGCTCCATAACAATTACCACCCACAAAGTAAACACGTTTGCACTCATGCTCCCACAAAAAGAGGCAGGGGAAAGGGAAGATGCCATCCTCCAACTCAATGCTGGAAGGCTACACCTATACACATCAGTCACTGTAGCAAGATAAAAACTGAGCAACTACTCCCTCAGGTTATGGCTTTAAAAATAAAAATATTGGCTACTAGGCAGAAGTGTGGTAACTCATCCTTGAGGGGCTGGCTAAAGGGAAAAGTTATGTTATTATAAATTCACTGCCCAATTTTATATACATTAACTTGGTATGTTTTATATACATGGGAATATGTATATGGCTAGTTGTATAGCAATACAATTTCCCTCACCCTTATATTCCTTGCCTCCTTAGACCCCAATCCTGAAAACACATAAGTAACTCTTTAATGTGACTCCTTGGACACATGTGTTTGCAGGATTTGGTTCTCCAGCTGGAACTCTTCTACAGGAAACATTTCTGCAAGTGTTTGAATAGCAACTAGCCCAACAGAGCCTGATCACCATTTTAATCTCTGGACTTTACCCCAGCTGCATATTTTATTTTTTACCAAATGCTTTCCTGGTGACTTACTTCCAAAGCACATGAAGAGGCAGAAGAGGACTGGATAAAAATAACCAAAGCAGACTCCCAGGACATACTCGTGTACGGCAGCTGAGACAGCAAAGACAGACAGCATAGCAGCAGCTTTGAACTTCTTACCAAAGAACTGGTGATGGGAAGAGGGGTGGGGGGAAGATATCAAATACAGAGCTGTTCTGTTGTACTTTATTCTATTTTACACTAGAGGTTAATACATTTAAAGTAATTTTAATGGACTAGTTAGGGTCTGCCCGCTATGCACGAGGAGCTTTAAAATGCCATATACATTACAGATTCCTTAGATTAAGGAAAGTGTCTATTCTTTGGGGGATTTTTACTCTGCTTCTCATTTCCCGAGAATGCACATGAAATATAAAAACACACCAACGCTCTTCTATTCAAATAACATATTACCATGCCAGAATATAACAGTTCTGTGAACCAACATACTATTAGATTCAGTTGTTACCTTTCATTAAAGCGTTAGATTAGGCCCCAGTCCTGCACTTTATGCATGTGAGTAGATCAGTGAACTCAATGGTTCTCCTAACATGCATAAGTGGCTGCCCATACCAAGACACTGAATTTGGTCATTCACATCCCTGAATGCACTATGAAGCAGCGTTTCACAATCAGGTTACTAGTTTGTCTATTGTTAAATTTTTAACCTAAGTCTCCCCTCCCATCCTGCAGGAAAGGCTTTGTGATCTCCCCCTCAAAGGTCAGCAGATCACCAGTTTGTCAGTCACTGACTCTTTTTGTTAGTCATCGGATCAATCAAAAAGCAAGGCCTCTTTGCACCTCTACAGGGTAAGACATTGGCTTCCGTAAAATTGGCATAGAAATAGGGAGAAGCTTTTACTGGACATTCATTTATTCAAAACAATTTACAAAGTTCTAATATGGATTCCATTCCTACACCACTACATTAATTCACACTTCACCACATTTTCCTCCTTTGTCATCCTCTTCAGTGATTTCTGCATAATTGCAGAAATAACCTTGCTGGATGAAAGCTATTCCAGAGCGCTTCTCCACATCAGTGCCCTTCCAAAGCCAATGAGGACTCTAGCAATGCAAACTACTACTTATTTTCTCACGAGGAATGGTGTTAGCTCCCCTCTTACACCCACCCCCTTACATTTTTAGAAAAAGATGCCATAGTGTTTCAAAGAGAGGTAAAGAATGAGGACCAAGTCTGCTTGCTGCTCACCCACAGAAAGTCCCTGTAAGCGTAGTAATACAGCCAGTCATGTACCACCACATTCCATGTTCGGTAATAGTTTGCATACGATGTGGAGTTCCACCAATCCTGAAACACACAGTTAAAGGGGAGAAGAGGGCACATAGTTGGCGTTAGTGATAGGTCTTCCATTAACTCTTTTTTGAAAACTAAGTTTGAAAATGTTTGAGGAGACTAGTTGTTCACACAATCTATCATCCCAGTTAATTTAACAAGTTGCATTGCAAGATTTCACAGGTTATGGCATTTGTAGCATCTTTATCTTTCAGGGGTATGACAGTTACTCCAATAACTGAGTTCTATGGAACTGCAGTGGTCAAACAGAATGAAAAATTTAAATTATGGTCATGCTAATGAAAAGATTTGACAGTTCTGGTGGCTGAACAGTCCTGTTTACTCACAGAGAGGTAATACAGGCATTGGCAGGCCAAGTTTCCTCCACAATACCCCACTGGGATGCCTCAATCCTGATCTAGGGGGACTTTGGAGAAGGAACTTCCCCTACAATGAACATCAGTAGCATTTCTGCTGCTAGGACGCCTCATGCAGCAGAGCTTTCTGAAGTTCTTTTCCTCTCCTGCCCCTATTTCATTTGGAGAAAGCAATTCTAGAAACTTCATAAAACTAATATCATTTCATTTAGGATTGATTAACAAAGATAGCATCTGAGGAGAACAGCAGCAACATCTACAGACATTGCAGAAGAAAGACCTTGTTACCTTGTAGAACATTCTGTCTGCAAAGCGCAGCATCTCAGCAAATGCATTAAGCCAGCAGTGAAGGAATGCAAAGAAGACCAAGAAGAGAATCAGAACGCCTGGGGATACAGAACAAAAAAAACCCAGACTCATTTCACAACATCTGTTGTTTACTCATCTGTGACCAGGGATACATAAACACAGCCATCAAACTGTATCTGCTGCAAACAGGTTTAACAGGAGGAACCAGATTTTGTATTACTCAATCTATAACTATCATTTTTAAAGGGTACCTCACCACACAGGACACACAAAGGCTGCTCTATGGTGCAGAGACTGTTAACAAAGGAGCCAGAATTAAAATTTGAAGTTCTGTTTGAATCTCTCGTGCCCTCAAGCTATAATATCTCATTGCTGAACTTTCATGGAGAAAGTCTTATTTAACAACAGAACAGCAAGTTATCTTCTTAGTTATCACAGGATAGGTGCACTGCAGGGCAACCATATCTGCTATAGCGACCAATTCTCCCCTCCCTATGAAAAAAACAAATCCTGTGAGCAGGAGTTTGGCACCTTCTCTGAACCCTCCTTTTACAAGTCTAGCCTGGGTGGGAAATGGAGGAAGGTTGTAATGTTGCACAGCCACCTGGGTCTCACCTGGCAGGATGGAATTGAAAATGCAGAGGACCAGCCCTCGCAGATTGAAGGGTTCCTGACTTATGTTCCGAAATGGAGGGATGCAGAGTCGCACAAAGATGTAGTAGGCATAAAAAAGCGAACCAATCACCTGCAGCACAAGAGCAGTCACACTCCATAAGAAAAATTAATGCACAACATCTGTAACATCGCAACTCTCTACAGAAGGGAGAGAAACAATGGCACCACCCCGAACTTCCCACCACTCACAGACTTTTTGGATTAGAGACAATATTAATGAAACTCCCACAGTATTCTAATTTTTTGTTTTCAATTAATGTTGGAGCATTATTCCCAGATAGCTGATGTGGTAATGTCAGTGCATTGTCACTGTTCTGCCAGAGTAGCTTTAAAAATTTCTCCAAATCCACCTACTGATGTGGCAGCTCTGAGCAGTTCTAAAACAGTGCTAGAAGATGATGAAGCTGAGTAGTTTTATGCTGATGCCCAAAATACAAGTGAGAAATCTCACAATTTGGATCTAACCAAGACATTGAGACAGAGCTGAGCACACATTATATATTATGATAATTACTTCACATATATTATAATCTTCATTTCTCTTCCATCTGAGAAGATTTACAACAGGCCAGGCCATTCAAGAACCTGGTTTTGGTTCATCAGGCAACTCCCTATTCAAAGTTTTAAGACAGGGAAGTTCTGTCAATACAGTAATTTGACTGGATGAACACCCTGACTCACTTTATAATCGGCTTTTCAGCTCACCTAAGCCCCATTATAAACGCACATACCATATCGCAACTAGAGTACATGTTTTTTCACCCCTTTCCTTCCACATCAAGAACAGCCTATCAAGAGGGAGCTGGGCCCCTTTGTTAGTGCCATTTAGATGCAAAGAAGGATTCCTTGTGAAGTGGCAGAATTCCAGGTCACACCACACTGAGGGTCCAATAAAACTTGACCTGGAAGTTTCTTTGGACTACAGCAAGAAACAATGAACGACTGTGCTCATTGAAGCACATGGGGCAAAGGAAGCAGTTTCTTGTCACTGCCCCCACAAACATACACACACTGCCTTTCCAAACTCACAAAATCTTGATAAGTGCTAGGTTTAGAGAAAAAGTGAGGTGAGAATACAGAAGTGTAAGTGTCCTCTGCACCAATCTCAGTTGAACTAACTAAAAGTTATTTACTTTGATAAGGTACGGCCATTAAAATGATAAAACAAGTAACAAAGTTTAATGTTCAGATAAGCATCCAAAAGCTTGGCTTGAACTATCAAAACCTCAAGTCTTCAAAAGAGAGCTGGAGATCTCAAGAGATATACTGGCACTTGTGTTTCTGTCTGGAGCACGTGAAGTGGTAAACCACCTTTTCCAAAAAGGGTGTGGTTCAAAACTAAGGCAAAGGCTCAGATCAATTCTTTGTTGTGCAAGGTAATTAGCCCTTCTCCAGTATCCACAGTATATTGGTAAAATGCATACTGGTGTTTCTATTGCCCTCTGCATCAATATAAAAGCCAATGGTCGTGAATCAAAGCTAAGGAAAAGTCAATCCCTAACTGAAATTATGACAGAATTTCATCAGAGGGTGGATAAAATATTGAGTCAACTCACTGAAGGAAGCAACTAGTAGAAATATTTTTTCTTAAAAAGGAGTTAGACGAGTATCTGACAAAATATTTCAGGGTACAAATATTAATATAATAGCAGGGATCAAAGAGAGTTTTCTTTTCTTCCATCGCTAGAAGGGCTTCTGTATTTTTCCGGTGAAGCTGATTGCTGAATAATTCACATAAGTTGAGGCCTCAAGCAGGAAGTGCCCGACAATTCCATCTGATAGAGTCTGAGAATTCTCTGGACATGTATTAAGATGATCAAAAATTAAACTAGACTCACCTGTGCAAACTTGGTAGCTACATAACCCCATCTTATCATGGGATTCCTACAAAGAGAAAAAGCACAATATTACATCTAACAAACTCTTCCTTTGGGGAAGCAAGGATCTCACCCAGTACAACCGTATTCTGTAACCATCCCATCCCTTGAGCACAGAACTAAATTAAAGTTTAAATTAGTGGTTTAGTCTGTGGAATATTGATGGTCTATAGAAAGCTCATGGCTCCTCCTTATTGCCAGCTGTAAAGTGCATTAAGACAGCAAAATATATTACTTTCTCATGTAAGAAATTGCATATGTCTATGGCAACTACAGCAATCACATAAGGAGATAGCAGTCTGCACGACTGTGAACGGGAGGAGAGTTAGTCTACTAGACAGTGCCACTAAAATGGGCCCCATACTATGAAAGTTTGAGAACTCCTGGGCTAAGTATTTAAGAAGTACCTGTAGTTCCTCCTCAAATCCAAGAGATGGAGCTGCTTAACAACTCCATATTATGGCAGATACTCAAATTTAACTAAAATCTAAGGGACTAGTCTTCACAGTTCCCTTTCTTTCTAAAGACATTCAGCATCTGGTTGTTTCATTCCTAGATCTAACTCTAGACAGTTTTTCAGAAAAGCTCCTAAAATACCTAGAGATTGGTTAGCAGAGGGCGGGACCGAGTCAAGCCATTGGGGTGCTATTTCCAGCCCTGCCAGTAGTTTGGCATAGGACCTGCAGAAACTCACCTTATCTCTCTGTACCTCAGTAAAGTGGGGGTAGTTCCCACTTCGGAGTCATTAAACATCAGCTCAGACTTTTAGAATACTACATAAAGATATCAGTGTTGTTGACATTACCTCGGATAGTTGTCCCTGTAGATGAGGGTGGGAGCAAAGAGGAAGTACAGATACTGGGTAACTTGGGGAACTGGGACGGTGCCTGAAAGAGCAAAAAAGAGTATTTGGTAGTGAAGCATTCAGCACACTGAAGGCATGGTGCTTCCCTCACTAGCCTTCTGCCTACTTAACCTAGGCCTCCTCACTAGCCATCACCCTGAAGACTTTAGTAAAGGAGTCAGAATCCTTAGATTGCCAGAAAAAGAACAGAGGGAAAACAGATTAGTAATTAGCAGGAATTTTGCTTGGGACATGTAGTTCAGAGAAACCAGCGCAGCCACTCAGTGCACAATGTTGTTAAATTGGCAGTCATTACACACAGTCGCATTTTTAAAGGAGGTACTGCCGGTGTGTCATGATTACTGATATCATGTGTACCTCAGTGCCAGAATGTCGGCAGACCAAGTCCCACACCAACATCTGGGCTCTTATTCCATGCTAACTTTACTGTGCAGTTCTAGATGGGTTACTGCCCTCTTAGAGGTGCTGTCCTTTGGATTGAAGCATTACACCGAAGTCCCCTCTACCATTTCTTGTGGATGTCCCAGTGGTAGCAAGATCCCCTGGCACTAAAAGCACGTAGAAAACCCCTAGATGTCTTGGCCAACTTACTGTCTCTCTAAAACTAGTTCTAATTCTTCTTCTTTGTAATAACTCAGTCACCCTGGGTGAAATTCACTTCTATGCAGAGGGCCACCACACAGCCCAGGCACCTCTCTAGCCACATTAAAGACCCACTTACATCTGAGAGTATAAATGGTGCACAGAAGTCTTGGGCTGACCATATGTATATTGGTGAATTTCACCCCTAGAGGAAGGAGGACTCAGGAAGCAAAGAGTAAAACAAATTATCCACAAACGTCTAGTGGAAGCAGGGGTAAGTTACTCACTCGACTTCTCCTTGGCTGAAGACAGGACCCGAGGAACATTCTCCCTAATGAATGAATAAGCCTTCATAATTAGACGAACCTGTAAAACAAGAGTGTGTCCAAGATCCCATTTTCCACAATTCAACTTCCTCAGCCTCTGCACTCCAGTGGGACAGAGTGATGCATCTGGGTAACGCTTTCAGCATATTAGTCTCTTTTCACCTTCTCCTTTTTTAAAAGGTATGTACTGTTCCCCCTATACGTTCACCTCTCAACTAAACACTCAGAATACCAGAAGGGGCAAGTATGCAGATAGTAGTGGTACTTGCCCCCTCTGCACCTCCAAAAAAATCCAAACGGTTTTGTAATTTAGGTGGAAATTAAAATGAGCTCCAGTCCAGTGCATGTGCCGTATGACATGGAAACCAATAAAATGTTAGTCAGGTTAACCGAACACAATCTAGAATGAAGCAATGAATCACATCCTTTCGATACCCCAGCTGTTCTCAACACTGAGATTATTGTTGTCAATCTAGAATTATTTATTGAGTATACGGCTCCATTTTTTAAGTGATCAAGTTGAAGCAAGATGGCACCAGCACATGAGCTCTATGCCTACTGTTCAGTTCACGTTTTTTGCCCCCCACAATTTCCTCTCAGGAACTGATAATTGCTTGGCAGTTAATACTCCTCAAACTTGCTCTCTGAGTCCTGGCGACTCCTGTTTTGAGACGCTCACAGTGACAACTGCTTCTAGAATTACAAACATCAGGACTGTTGTGAATACATTCAGAACACAAAACGTGAATATACAGCAACAAACTAATGTTAAACATAGCTATTAAGAACTATTTCTGGGTCACAATAGAGGTGTACACTTCTCTTTTATGTATGAATATAATTGTTCAAGAAGGATCTTAAATTCTCTGTCAGGCCAGCACAACATGTTTAATGGGAGTTTAAAGTAAAAATCTGACCCCCCTTTTATAAAAGCTAGAACTGTTCTAACTCTAATTATATTTAATCTACTCAAGATTGGCTCCCTCAAAATGTAACTGTGCACAGTTACCACCTTCCTACTTGGGATACAACTGAAAGATTATTCTGTGAATATCACAGAGTATTACGAAGAAGCAAATGCCATGCATCACTTGGGCCATAGAAGCAATGTTTGCTACATTAAACCGTTTGCTGTTTGGGTCAATATGGCCATATATTTTATATACTGCACATCTTACATGAGGATATATGTATTCTTCATATTTAGATGCACAGGGCACAAAAAACTGCTTGAATTTAGAACTACAGTATTAGAAGTCAAAATCACCAAGAAGGTGAATGGCTATTTTACATGGAGACCGTTCAAAACCATTCCCTACCGTTTTTGAATATATTTAATGTCATCTGCGCTCTTCATTGACAGAGCAGCAAGTAAAATGAGTGTGAGGTTGCAAGACAACCCAAAATTAAAGCTTGAGAAATTACACAGATTTGTTCTGCCCTCTTTATGGGTATTACACCTTATCTGTTGTGTGGCAACTAGATTAATTTACATCACAGACAATGGTCAAGTGGCCTTAAATTTTTACTTTTGTTCTAAAAGCAGCCAATACTGGGAACTGGCAATATTTCAAGTGTTTCCACTTCTCTCTTGCTTCTAGCAGTCACATGAGTACACCTTGTCTACAAACAGATGATATTTAAAAATATATATATGCAGTAGTCTAGTGCAATTGTATCATATTAACAGATACTGAATTTAATTCAATCAGCCAAGGGTACAATTATTGAAAACCTGTTAATAAAATAGAAAATATTATTTTTTAAAAATCAGAACTAGTTGCCAAGAGTAATGAGGTCTCTTAGTTACAAATTGTTATTATCTCACATGCAGAGATAGGCACTACAATATCTTTTTGAGGAGAAAAAAAGGCTTTTCAGCAAGTTCTTTCCTAGACAAAATTTGCACTCTAGCATGCAAAGCCATCTACTGTCCTGCCTCTAAAGTCACCATGCAGGGACTCACCTGTTCAAGTATTATAACGAACCGAGAGGCTGGAGGTAGAGCATACGACACAGCAACATACGTTGGCCCAAGCCCAAGCCCGATGCTTTGGAAGAGCATGAAGAGCATCCCGAAGAAGAGGGAGCGGATTTTCCGGTGGGAGGAACAACAGTGGCCCTGGGCCCACTGCAGGAAGAGGCCATAGGGTAAAATGAACGTGGACAGAAACATGCAGAGCCAGGTGGAAATGACAACAGGAAACTTGCCAAAAGCGAAGACCAAAAGATCAAATTCAAGCACCAGCCTAAAAGAAACAGATATGAGACAAAGCCAGATTAGTGGTATGTGGTGTTCATTATCTCTTTTTATGAAAGCTTCCAACCCAGTTCTGCAGTGGTCACAGAAAGCGACATTAGCAGACAACAGCTGGTAGGTGATCTCAGTTCAATTCCTTAATGGACAAATGCATTGTGCAAAACCAAACCACACTCTCTCTTGTTGGCAACAATGACTGGCTGAAAGACTAAGATCTGACTCAGCAACACGTGTAAGCACATGCTTAACCCTAAGTCATATGGGCTTCAATGGGACTTAAGTGCCTGTTTTAAGGAAGCGCATGCTTAAGTTCTTTGCTGAAGATGGATGAGCTTAAGCACGCACTTAAGGGTAAGCATGTGCTTACATGCTTTGTTAAATCAATACTAGAGTGAGACCCGGAAACAGAACTTCTCTCACTTCTAGCGAGGGTCCCTCCAAAACAGGGAGGAAACATTTACTGGGAAGTGAGAAAAGTTTCTATTGATGACTCCATGGCTGTACTTGTTCAGTGAATAAACAGGATTTCAGTCTCCGGAGATGTCACTTTAGCATGTTTCACAAGAACTCAGGGTCAGATTATTAAATATATTTAGGCACCCAAAGATGCAGATAAGCACCTAGTGGGGATTTTCAAAAGTACCTGTACACCTAATATCCACTGATTTTAATAGGAGTTGGACACCTAGATGCCTTTGAAAATCCCACTAGATACCCAAGTACCTTTACAAATCTAGCATTAAATCTACTTTGTTAAAAAAAGGTAGAATTAAATCCCAGGTAGGTTTGCTATAGAACATGGTTGATTATTTTTAGAATCATGAAGAAACAGTTAAAATCTGCACAAATGAATATTGTGACTGGTCCTTCATGGTTTTTCCCTCCTTTAGAATCTAGTCTGATTTAGAAGTTTTAGATTTCTAGCCCTTCTACCTCAGAAGGGCCTTCACTCTATAGATTTAAAACTCTGCTGGCTCAGGACGACCTCTCAGGTACACATACCACAAGTACACAAAAGCTTAAAATGTATTCATTCCCATCCGGATTCATATTGGGATTACAAACTGTACCCTGAGACACTATCAGATTTATTTAGGAAGACAGTAAAAAAAAAAATATATGTTACTGCAGATACTATTATGACAAAATATTACAGACAATCTGTTCCTCTGTATGGAAGACAAGTCTCCAATGTAGATCCATCCAATTCTTCCCCTGCTGTCCACATCACTTTCAATTGAGAAACAAAGCTAAGCTTCCATTTGGAAACCCAAATGCTGCCAGTTTACATTCATCCAGAACTGTACGTGCCAACTCTCAATTAGAGATGAAAAAAACACTAACATCAAGTCATGTCACAACTGGTTCTGATACATGAAAAACAAGGAAATTGTCTTATCAGTAAGATAAACATGTAGTTTCACTTGTAATCTACAGGGATAGCTGCCAAAAACAACTACAATTTAAGCAATAACGTCAACAAGTCAGAGGAAGACTCTCTCTCAAGCATGTTCAATACTGGCTACAAGCATCTAAACACAGGCACAACTGAGTCTGTTCCAGGACCTTCAAGGTTCATTTAGAACAACTTAATTTACATCTATTTAGCAACAATACAGTCCTCCAGAAGTGTGTTCAGTATAGTCTACTAATGCAGGACAGAAGACTGCCAAAGTATTTGCCATTTTTCAAAACTGTCTATACTGTCCCCTTCACTTGACATAAATGAAGAACCACCCCCATCCAGTTCATAATTCTGGTGCTCTGAGAACATAATGAAAAGAAGCTATCATCTACCTTTATGTTGAGTTCTCAAGAACCGCATGCCTCTAGCCCAATGACATTGGATATAATATTTCTAGGATATGTGCCCAAAGCCTATGAGCCATATGACAAAATTGCTCACTATCTCCCTATGCCTTCTGTGATTGCCCTATGTCTAGGATGTAAATTCTAGCACAATTTTAAAGCTTGTTGAGTCTATTTACAAGTTTTATGACCTGTCTACACAGCATTATACTTGGAGTACGAGTTCCCCGATTTTGTAACTTTATGTACCACTAATTTTTAATTATCAATTTTCAATGTGTAAGTGCTTCCCTTTCAACACACTTTCTTACCTTCCTTCATCAATAAAGTCTACTACAAGTGTGCTGAGAATGAAGAGGATGAGGAGAGCGATGAACATGTGGTAGATTGTCCGGATGTGGTTCACTTCAAACAGCTCACTGGGGAGGAGGTCCAAATGAAGAGCAATATCATTAGCACACATATGAATAGCATATAGTGTCCATAGTACTTTTTCTCTTCCAAATGTTTCCTTTCAATGTGAAACATGCCCCAACAAGTACAGCACAACTGGGAGACAAGAGCTCCGAGTTATAGTTCTGACTTGCTACATGACTAAGTCACTGCTCCGTTCCTCACTTTTTCCATCTGTAAGAGTATGGTGATACAACTACCTCACCGGGGTGTTGTGTGAATTAGTTCATGTTTGTGAATAAAAGATACCTGGTTCTCATCTAGCACTTCTACCTGAAGATCTCAAAATTCTCTCTTTGAAGGTGGGGTAGGTAATCCTCAACCTTATTTTTACACAGGGAGAATTAGTCACAAGATTAAATGACTTGCATAAGAATCCAAAGGGGACTGTCAGCAGTCAACAACTGAGACAGGTCCATTAAAAGCAATGAATACAAGCAATAAACAGTTTCTCCCCAAAGGAATTCAGATTTGAGGATCCAACAAGTGTTGTGCTGTGGCAGCCCTCCAGCAGGGCTACAGCTATTCCTAGTGCCTCCCACTGTCACCATCTTTCTAGCACATGTGGGCAAGGGCACGTGGGAAAAGGTTTACAGAACCTTCTACATAGGAGAAAGGCAGGCAAGCAAGCTACACCGCTTTGTAGCTTCAGAGAACCATTATCTTTTCAACAAATACCCATTTTCTTAGAGATAAAGCTCCATGGACATTTGCAACTATATATGTCTGAAAAAAAATATTCAACAGGAATCAGACATAGAAAGAAAGGGCTCAACTATAATAAAGAAGAGGTCCCAAAGTAAAGATACTGAGGGTGGCCAAGTGAGGCACTTTTAGCCAGTATGCTTCAGAAACAACAAGTGCAGTTAAAGTACTCACTCCAAGATGGACCTCCTAGCAGTAAAGAGCTTTCCATGTTCTGGAGGTGCTCTCAAGCCCCTGTGAAGAAGAAGGAGAATATTAAAGACAAAAAATTGTAAACTATAAAGGTTGCAGGAAACTTAACCTCATCCAGGGACCAGCTTACTTGGTTTTGTGCAGGTCTCTCTCTGAGCAGGTAGCTACAGGGAAGGTGGATGTTGCTGTGGAGGATTCCAGAAGCACAGACTTTGCTATCAAACGGTTCACAAACTCTGTAAAGTGACTGTCCACCTCCTTCATGAATGCCGGCTTCAACTCCTGATAAAGTGGAAATAGGGTCACATTATTTTCTATGCCTTGATGGGTCAAATCAGCTGTGAAACGCTACCATGAGTCATGCTTTGAATAATGCTTATTCATCTTTTGATACAATGCAGAAGAGAGGAAAGCTATCGATATTCTGGCGATAACGTTTCAAGAAGGAGAAAAGTAAAAATTAGGGGTGGTATGTACGTCATAAGATGTGGGACCAAGTAAGTTAAATGTAACCTCCCATCCCTGGAAAAAAAAGCCCTGCATTCACACAACATTATGTTACATATTTAAAAACAAGAACGTAAGAATTGGTACACATGATGTAACACTAGATTGCCTATGTTGCACTATGAGGACAGTGCCTTTTGCTTCTACAGTTTTTATGTTTAACCTTGTAAGTTTTTTGGGGAGGTTAAGGGGGTAGAGTTGCACATTAATTTCTCACATGAACAATGAAATGGTCCCAACTAGTCTTCGAATTTTACACCCTCACAAAATGAACATGGGGAAGAGAAAAGAAAGGAATTTACACCTGAGCTACTGCCGTTGTTTGGCTAGAGGCAGTTTTCTGCATGGCTACGTTTACAGGGCAACATGTGAAAATGCAATAGTAGATGAAACAACAGCAACAGAGAAAAAAAATCAAACAAATAGGCCCCGAAGTACTGAGCCCTCCGATTCCCATTAGAGTCAATAAGAACTAAGGGTTCTTAATATCTTGCAAGGCCAAGCCCTTTGATTTTCACTGTGGAAAGATTATGCCACTTGTACTTTTGATATTTAGTTTCCAATTAAAATATTCCTGCATGAAGGCCAAGATACTTGCACTGTATTGTCAAAGGGGACTAGGCATGCCATTACGGCATGCTCAGAGGTGATTTGACAAATTGTAGACAATTTGTATTCTTCCCTCTCCATGCAAAAGCCTACTATGGGTCCAATGGTTTATCAAAAGGGTGTTTAGATGCATTTTTGAAAGGTCCTTTGGATGACCAAAAAGAGGTCTTATGCTGTAATGTTACATTCTCAATTACAGTGCTTCAATGACAGCTGAAGGAATTTTTGCTTAAAAGCCTTTCAAAAAATTTCATAAAGCAAGCAAAGTTTTAGCTTCAAAAAGGTGAATTTTCAGAATGTGAAAGTGTGGCTATAACTGAAGTCCTATCTTGTCTAGATTACCAGTTTGCATAACACATTTCCTAGTTGCACATTGCTTTCCAGCTTGTAACGTACTAGGAAACGCACCATAAGGCAGTCTACAGTTTGAAGATTGTGCTAATGCAAGGGAAGTGTCCAGCTTATTTGCAAGGGAGTTAAAATGGTAAAATGGTAGCTGTCTTCAGACTGATTGTGTAAAGAGAACTACTACTGCTAGTATGTGCTAGATTGACAGTTCTGGATAGTGAAGTGTTCTTTTCACCCACAGAAGAAATATGGCAGAAGCAGTGGTAGGTGAAAGTTTTCCCCAGCATATTACATATATATCCTGAAATGAAAGCAACAGCATAAACATTAGCCTCAGGAAGACCGGAGAGCCATGCAAAGTTAATTATTCTCGAAAATCCAGATAATATGAGAAACAGACTGCAAGAGATATGGGGCCAGATTCTTAGACTCACATTAGAAAAACTACATTGATGTACACCATTTGAGCATCTGGCCCCTGGGCAATAGTCTGAAGTTAAATACTTGCTGTTGGGTTGCTCCTCAAAACACCAGCCTGGTGGGGAGGAAAGATGGTGAAAGCTAACTAGTAAGACAACAATGCTCTACCCCAGAATTTTTCCAGAAACTAATTTTACAAAGATTAAACTTCTGCAGCATAAGATGAGCATTTCTAGGCAACGGATTTCAAAAAGATGGGCTTTAAATTAAATAAAAACTCAAGCTAGCCAAAAACTCAAAAGGTAATGAATTGTTTTTTAAGTATATCAGAAGCAGGAAGCCTGCTAAACAACCAGTGGAGCCCCTGGACGATCGAGATACAAAAGGAGCACTTAAAGACGATAAAGTAATTGTGGAGAAACTAAATGAATTCTTTGCGTCAGTCTTCACGGCTGAGGATGTTAGGGAGATTCCCAAACCTGAGCCGTCCTTTGTAGGTGACAAATCTGAGGAATTGTCACAGATTGACATGTCATTAGAGGAGGTTTTGGAATTAATTGATAAACTTAACAGTAACAAGTCACCGGGACCAGATGTCATTCACCCAAGAGTTCTGAAAGAACTCAAATGTGAAGTTGCAGAAATGCATATAGTTTGTAACCTGTCCTTTAAATCAGCTTCTGTACCCAATTGGATTGGAAGATAGCTAATGTAATGCCAATATTTAAAAAGGGCTCTAAAGGTGATCCTGGCAATTACAGACCGGTAAGTCTAACGTCAGTACCGGGCAAATTAGTTGAAACAATAGTAAAGAATAAAATTGTCAGACACATAGAAGAACATAAATTGTTGGGCAAAAGTCAACATGGTTTCTGTAAAGGGAAATCATGTCTTACTAATCTATTAGAGGTCTTCGAAGGGGTCAACAAAATGTGGACGAGGGGGATCCAGTGAACATAGTGTACTTAGATTTCCAGAAAGCCTTTGACAAGGTCCCGCACCAAAGACTCTTACGTAAATTAAGTTGTCATGGGATAAGAGAGAAGATCCTTTCCTGTATTGAGAACTGGTTAAAAGATAGGGAACAAAGGGTAGGAATAAATGGTAAATTTTCAGAATGGAGAGGGGTAACTAGTTGTGTTCCCCAAGGGTCAGTCCTAGGACCAATCCTATTCAACTTATTCATAAATGATCTGGAGAAAGGGGTAAACAGTGAGGTGGCAAAGTTTGCAGATGATACTAAACTGCTCAAGATAGTTAAGACCAAAGCAGACTGTGAAGAACTTCAGAAAGATTGCACAAAACTAAGTGATTGGGCAACAAAATGGCAAATGAAATTTAATGTAGATAAATGTAAAGTAATGCACATTGGAATAAATAACCCCAACTATACATACAATATGATGGGGGCTAAATTTAGCTACAACTAATCATGAAAGAGATTTTGGAGTCATTGTGGATAGTTTTCTGAAGACATCCACGCAGTGTGCAGCGGCAGTCAAAAAAAAGCGAACAGGATGTTAGGAATCATTAAAAAAAAGGGATAGAGAATATGATGGAGAATATCTTATTGCCTTTATATAAATCCACGGTATGCCCACATCTTGAATACTGCATACAGATGTGGTCGCCTAATCTCAAAAAAGATATACTGGCATTAGAAAAGGTTCAGATAAGGGCAACTAAAATGATTAGGGGTTTGGAACAATTCCCATATGAGGAGAGATTAAAGAGGCTAGGACTTTTCAGCTTGGAAAAGAGGAGACTAAGGGGGGACAGGATAGAAGTATATAAAATCATGAGTGGTGTGGAGAAAGTGAATAAGGAAAAGTTATTTACTTGTTCCCAAAATATAAGAACTAGGGGCCACTAAATGAAATTAATGGGCAGCAAACAAATAAAAGGAAATTCTTCTTCACACAGCACACAGTCAACCTGTGGAACTCCTTGCCTGAGGAGGTTGTGAAGGCTAGGACTATAACAGGGTTTAAAAGAGAACTCGATAAATTCATGGAGGTTAAGTTTGTTCATAGCTATTAGCCAGGATGGGTAAGGAATGGTGTCCCTAGCCTCTGTTTGTCAGAGGGTGGAGATGGATGGCAGGAGAGAGATCACTTGATCATTCCCTGTTAGGTTCACTCCCTCTGACATCTGGCATTGGACATTGTCGGCAGACAGGATGGACCCTTGGTCTGACCCAGTATGGCCATTCTTATGTTGTTATAAGGAGTGTCCTGCGAGTCACCCCATTTTGGGGTGCTGCCAGGAAGAATCACACAAGGATAATGTCTTGTAAAGAAAAATGTCTAGGTATTATTTGATGTCCACTTTGTTATTTTCTATCACTGGAATAGCTAGCTGATAATCATTCCACTGATGAATTTTTTAAATTTAATAATCTTTCTTTAAGCTTCCTTATTTTCCCTGTCTAAGATACCTTGAAATTCCCTATAAATTAGATAATTGCAATGTCACAGCTGGTACTTTTGAGAGGTACAGCTTTTACCTGGGACATTATCACATGGTCTCTAGGAAAGAGAAAGTTGAGTAACCAACTTTCTGTTGCAGCTCACCTCTGAGATCAGTAAATGTCAAGAGCATGCTTTTTTGCTTCTTTATGACGTGTAATGAAAGCCTGAAAGTTTCTCCTGATTCTTTACCTTAGAACAGGAATACAGAGAGAAACAGACAAGGGAAGACCAAAGGACTCTTTGGAGAAGCTAACAACTGGAACTCTTGTAGGGCTACACGCGTTTGGATCTTACACAGAGATTTTCTCCCAGTTATTTTTCCAGGTGTTTTGAGTTGGACAGGCTTTTTAAAAACTTCCTTCTCCATCCCCACACCACCACCCAAATTGCTCATGATACATCCTTGTTCCTCATGATACCATAATGCTACTAGTTCTCCAGTTATCCATAGATTCCAAGAAAAGACGACAGGTTAGACAAGACATGAAATAATAATAAGCAATAAGCCCTCTCTTACATCCTAAAGCAGAAAAGGGGTACACGTTTTCTTCCCTTTGGGGGCCCTCTTTACCAAAATACCACATATCTAGGGAGATGCATTCTTAGAGACTAGTAATGTGTAATAAAAAGGAAAATAAACCCAGTCAATTAAGTGTACATTCTGCTTAAGACTTAGACATTCAGTTGTGAAAGAGTCGAGATGTGATCGTATGAAAATAATGGTGCACTAAAAAAAATAAAAAAAATCAAATTATAAGACAGCTCTGCCTGTTTCTTGAAGAGGTGGTGAGTCTCCGATTCTCCTACTCTCCACTCGGAACAAAGATCTGTCCACTGCTCTGCTCAAAACAAATTGTAACTGTTAATATTTAGCTTATTGAAAATATTTGCTCAGCAACCAGCAAACAAAGAAGTTTCTCCAGCACT